GGCTTATATTTCAAGCATTGTATGTTTTTTGCCATTACTAATTTTAAAATGATTGTAGGAGCAAGATAATCAACTCGCATATTTTATGTTAAATACATATTTGTTCAACCGTATATTTATTTAGAATATTAGATCTTATTGATTTTATAGTTGATGATTTCTTCTGCATATTTTGTTTTGCTTAGTTTATTTGATGTTAGCTATTCAAATATAAAAACATTCAACTTGTTTGGGAATAGTGTGCTACAACTTTTGATTTTTCTAACGTTTATACTTTTCTAAATTTTTTTTTTTTTTTTACAAAAAAAATCCATTAGGTATGCATTATCTCTTCACTTTCTTCAAAACATTTTCTTTGAAATTCACTTCAGCGTACTGTCACTGTTTTTGTCTTCTTGTGTTCCTTTTAGCTACTGTTAAACTGTATAACCTTTATTTGTAATTTTTAATTATTTTAGCTTTTAGCTATGGTTTTGCTTATTTTAGCTTCTAGCAGCAGTTTGAATATTTCTAGCTGTTGTTTTATTAATTTTAGATTTTAGCTATTGCTAAATGTTTGCTAATCTGAGCTTTTAACTACCGTACTTGCCGCCGTACATGTCGCACCGCCAAATAAGTCGCATCAGTCCAAATATGTCTATTAAAGTGAAACAAATTTTTTTTTTTTAAATGTCGCTTCGCCGTATAAATCGCATCTATTATGCATCACCACTGACCACCCGGAAATGTGGGCTGGTGTTGTGCCAAAAATCGATTTGGCTGCCAAATGGCGGCCGCGGGAGCGTGCACGGGCGGACTTTAACAAGAATTTAACAAGATTAACACGTAAAAACAAGTATTTGTTTGCTCAAAATTATAACAAAGGTGTATTTCAGTCTAACATTTCACGTACTTTAACAATAAAATCAGCTGCCTTTCAAAAACCGATATTGAAGTTGCAGCTTTTTCCTAAAAATTCAGCACTCACGCTGCATCGCTACAGGAAATGCACATTTTTCTAGTTTCCTCTATTTTGCTTTAATTTCTCTCACATTAATGTGGTTTAGGTTTTTCATTGTGTCAGTTTTATTTATGTTTCTGCAGCTTTTTCTAACATTTTCAGGATAATCTTTGTAACCATTCTCTGCCTTCTTCCACAACATTAAGTGCTCCATCCACAGCTTCTTGGTGCTCTGTTCTCCGTTTCTTCCTTCCTCTTTTAGTCTGTTGTTCACCTCCCCGGTCCTGCAGTAGCAGAATTGCTGGTAGTGACGTGGCCTGTGTGCCAGCACAGTGAATGAAGCTCAGCTGATTCCCATGGGGCTCTGAAAAGGGCTGAGAGTCACACTCGCACACTGAGCTCTTTCACTATATGATACCATTATAGAAACTCACGTGTGGACCAGCACCCATGTTGTGTAGTCACATACATTCTTCCTCCTCCAAATGGCTGTAGCTCCTCCCTGTCATTCTTACATCCATCCTGGGCTGCTATCCAGGTCGGGGTGTCTGGCTCAGCCAAGGCCACCCCACCGGATCTGTGCCCGGGACACTGGACTCACACAGCAAACAGACAGAGGCAGCATTATTCTCACAACGTGACTCAAGATGTGAAAGATGACTGCATTTTACGACATGCAACAGCCTATAGTGCAACGTGTCATTTGTAAATGGGATGTTGAAGCTTATAAAAGACTGTGTACAGCTGCTAGTGCTTCACTTGTTGAGAGCATGTACGTTTGTGCAGCCACTACTGCAAAAATATACAGTACATGTCTGTAGTCTGATTTATAGAACGGTTGGAAATCAGATTGGTTGGGATATGTGCGCAGATCTACCAGGCATCAGATTCATGCAGCACAATCATCTGGTAACTAATCTTGATATGCTCTGCAGCTATTCAAAAAATCCATTCAAATGCTGGAAAATATACAAGACTGAGCAGACTGCAGTTTTTTTAAGTCCATGCTGGTTTTATGTGTCATGTTTTATTTGTTTCTGCTCTCTTTCTTGGAGGCACAGCAGTGACTTCATTCTGGGTAATCTACACTTGTCAGGCGAAAGCTTGAAAAAGCTTTTCATCTGTACCAAACCGAACACAATGTTGTGGTATCACTTTGATACAAAACTGACAATTAGTGAACCAAGTGTGTTTAAAGAAGCTGCAACCTATAAATAGATATATTCTGTCTCCTGCTTGTCCGTCTGTCCTTCCAGATGGCTGGCCTGCAGGTGGGCAGGAAGATCTACACCATCAACGAGGACCTGCTGTTCCTCAGGCCGCTGTCAGAGGTCGACACCATGATTGGCCAGGCCTTTTGCATGCGACGCTCTCTGCGGCTGCTGGTCGCCACCAAAGCCAAAGAGTGAGGCAGTGTGCACAATCAATCGAGCAAACCCGTACGGTAAACACAACGCAAGAGGCTGTTCTGACATGTCTTTCTACCTCCAGGATCGTAAAGGTCCCTGACAACCCTGATAGCCTCTCCTTCCGACTCTCAGGATCTGCACCTCCTCACGTCCACGCTGTCAGAAAAGGTGAGAAAAACGTTTACCAGCATTTTTTTTTTTTTTCAATTTAAACTCAAAATCTGTAAAATTGATTGAAGTTGTACCTATTTCTATACAACACAGAAGTATATATTCTTGAAATCAGAAAACATACGTTTAGGTTTTTACTCATTATTGATGATCTATGAAAAGATTTACCAGTAGTTATTTTCTCATCAGTTTCAGAATGTGTTGAATGATTATCCCCAAAAATGTGAGTGAATTTAAAGAAAATATGAATTCTAGCCTCTCACCAGCTGTTACTCTGTTTTTAGTAGCTGTCTATTGGGGTTTATGGCCACCTGTTGGCCAGACGACTTGCAGTCAGGGCTCAAACCTCTGACAGACAAACTTTACTTCAGAACAGCAATATTTGATATAACCTTTACAAGCTGCATGTGTGCTCTCTGATCAGAGTTAGAAGGAGAAGAAACTGAAAATGCATCAGATTTAAAAGACATAATCTTCCCTCACCAGATGTTTGTACTTTTTAGACTTAAAATAGAATAAAGAGATTTACATGTCTGACAAGAAAAATGGTGGATGAAGTTATGTGTCAACAGACAGAGGCAGGAGAATGAACATGTTAAAAAGAATAGACACTGAATAGTGCAGCTAATGGATGTGATGCCTTGGTTTTACATTTCTGTATTCTGGCTTCTCCTCTTTCTTCCTCTAACTTCACTTCTCTCTGCTCTGCTTCTCCAATTCTCTCTTTGTTTTTAGTGTGTTACATCACTTCTGGCTCTCAGTTGGTGTCTAATGTGCAGTTTTTTTTCCACCTAAATTCAAATCAAAGTGTCTAGATTTTCTGTCCAATGTGCTGTTGAAACATCAGCCCAGTAGCCCTAGAGCTGGGTGAGTGCTGGCACCCTGCGTGGAAGTGATGCCACGGCGAGTATTTCTGGATCAGACAGGAAAATGGTGGAGGTGTTGATTGGACTTTCAGGCTGTTAAACAATTTGAACCTTCAGATAGCAAGTTGTGTCACTACATGTTGCGAATTACTGCTCTCCTCACACTTTTGAACAGATATGCAAATTATTTTCTGCCTCCGAAGGCAGAAAAGGCGATAATGTTTTTGTCTGCGTCTCTCTGTGTGTGCTCATTTGTCTTGGCAAAATGTCTCATGAAACATTGGACATATTTTAGTCAAAGTCTCAGAAAGTCATCAGTGGATGTAACTACATTCAAGATGGCTGCCACGGCTATCTAATATTAGAAAACACGAAAATGACCTTTAACTCAAGTGGTTGGAGTAGTAGCTGAGAGTCATTAACAACATGTTCTTTGATGCATATCACACAAGATCGTTGCGTGAAACTTTGGCGTGAACTGGTAGGACCAGCCCTGTTTCTCTGTTAGCAAAATATATCATAAACAACTGGACAAACCTTTAAAAACTCTCAGAATGTAATCATTAGACGCACAGTTACAACTTCTGAAGTTAACCTTATGGATGGCCACCACAGCCAATTGACCTTGGGCAACTCAAAAAGGCTACAACTTTGTCAAATTTACATAATTAGAGCTAAAGTTTTATGTGGTAGTAGCTGACAGCCATTAACAACACATACTTTGAGAGCTAATCCATCTCGCGATATCACCTGATTTTATGCATAACATTATTTTCATAGTTAGTTTCATATTTTCATTTCATAGCTTTACAAAAATGGCCATGACTATTTCCTTTCTCATCTTAAGATTACAATTTTTCAGTGAGTCTGACATGAAGGGATGGTGGGTGATATGCATTCCTTCAAGGAATGTGTGGACTTTAATTCTAAAGCTTTAAACACGAGTACAAAATAACCACAATATCCGGTCGGTGTGACATTTGTTTGGACCGTTTGCTTTCTAAAACAAAGTAAAGTTAAAAGGTCTACACGGGACCTTTTTATTTATTTACTTTTTTATCATCTGTGATTATCTTCCATGTTGAAAACTGTTTTGACCTACTGCAGGCTGGGAGGCGGCCGGGGCCGGTCTTCAGCCGGGTCAGGTTGTTCTGAAAGTCAACGGCAATAACGTCAACCAGAGTGATCACCAGGAGGTCTTGGAGCACTTCAGCGCCCACCACACTCACCAGGGTCCTCCTCAAGCGGTGAGAGGATACAAGAACACCTTATATCTTCTTCTGAAGAGAAGGATTTATAGCATAAGTCTACGTTTCACCCGACTAATCCTTAAATAAACACTGTAAAGTAATTTTCCACCAAGATGCATCACAGTCAATAATTCAGAGAGGTTTTTACAGCTTTTAAATGTGTTGTGCTTCTCAGAGAAGCTCTAAGTGCTTTGCTTTTTCTAATAGCTAAGTAATGCCACAAAATGGCATCATGATGCATTTCTTTAGCCTTATGGGTGACGTCATGGATCGTTCAACAACATAAGATTTCAAGTTTCTAAATCTGAGAAAGCCCCAATGACCATTTCTGAAATGTTACCAAAAACAGCATTAGTGTTTGAAAGAGTGGGGGAAAAAAAAGATAACATTTTATCTCTTCTTTTTGCTTCATCAGTAACGTGTTTTAATAGTCTCAAATGATTTGTAGTGATTTAAAAATTTTTTAGCCAAAGATAAAATCCTGCTTAGATGAAAAGAAGAGCAAATAAAGTAACAACTGGTCTTTTTTTCTGTGACTTTGGATCCATTTTAATTGCATATAATGTTTGATTTAGATTCTTGAGCTCTGACTCATGATTGGACTCTTGTTTTTTTTTTTTTTTTTAAACCACATGGCCAGCGTCAAAACGTCAAGCTGCTCTCTGCTTGTTTTGACATTCCTTTAGCAGCACTTTGTGTCTCCCGGCAGTATTTCACAAAGCCACAGACAGAGCTGGGAGTCCTCCTTACTGTGTAAAGTTGCTTGTGTTTTATTCAGCCTTCCCTACTTGTTGCTCCAGCCTGCTGATCAGGCTCAGCTGAGCAGCCTCATTTTGGCCCAGTTTCAGTTTATCTTTGCCGGTTCATTTAACAGCAAGACAAATAACCAGGATGTGATTACCTGAATGTCAAGTTCAAATAGGTTCTGTCAGTTTATGCTGCACGGTCAAATGAAAATTTACATCAGAGATTTAGGGCCCTCTTGAAAGAAATGCAATTCTGGAGGAAATAGTTATTTTTTTAGTTTTGAGATTAAAATGTAACAAATTTAAAGTATATTATTGCTTCTGAATTCAACTGCGTTTATTTTAATAATTATTTTTATATTGTAAGGTTATGCATTCACTTTTGCTGGAAATAAAACGTTTGAACCAGTCTGAGGTGTGATTTATTATTCCTGCTGCAGCCCAGAACACGTTTCATTCCTTCATCGTAAGAGCCTCAAACATAAACTCTTGAGTAATAATCTCCATAAACTGTCTTTAAACACCTGAAGCTTATGAAAAGAGCTTACATTATTGTTCAGTTAAAACAACTCCACTGCAGCCCAGACCACCAGACACGTAGAGAGAAGTCAACACTCTGTGCATGTGCTTGAACTCATTATGAAGGACTGAAAGAAGTTCTGTGCTCCAGCAAGTGTAACAAATTGCATATCGGGCTTATTCGGATGTTGTTTTGTAGTTCATCCAGTAAAAATGAACTCATAATCCTTGGATATAAAAAACAAAAACAAAAAAAACACAGTTTAGTTCAGGGCCACTATGGGGTTTATTTACCCCAGTTTAGTCTTAACAGACAACACTGTTTTCTCAACATTGTGCCTTTTTTCAGTCAACATCAACAGTTTAATCTCCACATTTTGACTTTAAACTCAAAATAATAATAATAAAAAACTTCCTTCTTCTTCTGAGTGCCCCAAATACTCTGTTGTACAAAACACATCCAAATGGCACAGTCAAATAGTTTAGATCTCAGCTTCTAGGACTGTGTACAGAGTGTATTCATCCTGCAAAATGTAACTAACTAGAGAAATGGAATTTCCTGCGAAAATGCAGTGTGACTGCTTATTGCAAAAGAACTTTCTGAAAAACTGCTGAAATTACTGTAGCTAAAAACAAACATGCTGAAATGTAGTGAAAATGTAGAGCAAGTGTAAATCAACAGGAGAAAGTAGAAAGAACACAGAAGTTGAAATTTAGTGCAAAATATATGGAATTAACTGAAAAAGCTAATTTTAGCATAAAATGGCTAAATAGTAGCTGAAATAACTGAAACTAGCAGAAATAAGCTGAAAGGAGCATAAATTGAAATTAGCAAAAATAATTTAATTAGGCTGAAAGTAGCAGAAATTACCATATATTTTTTTTAATTTATCTGAAAACAGCTGAAAATAACTAAAATATGCTAAAAAGCTAGCTGAAAAGGCAGAACAAGCTTAAATTATCAGAAGACAGCAGAAAGAACGTTTGCTGAAAGAAACAGAAATTAGCACAACAGAGTAGAAACCGTAAAAAAGCTTAAATTTGCATAAAGCCAGCTGAAAGTAGCTAAAAAGGCATAAAGAAGCTTAAATTACAAGAAGTAGAGAGGGAATATTTTTGCTGAATTAGGCTGAAAAATTTTTGAAATCAGTGCAACACAAGTGGAATTAGCTGAAAAAGTTAAAATTAGCATAAATAGCATAAAAACTGCTAAATAGTTGCTGAAGTAGCAGAAAAAGGTGAAACTTGCAGAAATAAGCTGAAAGGAGCATAACAAGCTGAAATTAGCAGAAAGAAGTTAGAAGCACAAAAATGTATTCATTGGGCCTCTCCTTGATGCTAAATCTCCTTGATGCTAAATGATGCTAAATCCTTTAAAATTATTCATAAGAGCATCATTAAAACATGCAGTCTGGTTATTTGTGACAACTAGTTTCTTTTATTGACACCTTACCTGTAAGCATAACGATCCTGAAATGAGCGCAAAACAGCTGGAAAACAGCTGAAATTAGCTGAAAGTAGCTGGAAAATAGTTAAAGATTTGCACATGGAAGCTGAAAGAAGCTGAACTGGATGCGAAAGGAGCCGTCAAAGGTTGTAAATAGATTTAAAGATTTGAAGGATTTAAAATGAGATCAATTCATTTTCTATGAGAAAAAAGGCTAAATATTTCAAAAAGCTAAAGTTGCACCAATATCAATAGTTATAGCACTTTTCTCCAGAATGAGCTGAACGGTTTGAAAACTGCGGGACGAGAATCGTGCCAAAAAACGTACAGAAGAAAAATGGATCACAATAGTGTGAATGCTTCATAAGCGTTCACACTATTAACGACATTCTCATTATTATGATTATTTTTTCAAACTGAAATCTTATCACTTCCCTTTAATCACAAACAATCATACTTTTGCCTGAATTATTTAGCTACAAAAAGACAAATTATACTCAGCCTGACTGATTTGATCTTTTTCTCCCCCAGTGTCACTGGGTGTACCGGGCTTTTGACGATGTGGAAGAGCTTCAGAGACCATCAAGTAGTGATGAGAAGAAGGCGAGGCCTTTTGAGTCGTACCCAGTGGAGAACGGCTCGGACCACGAGGAGGAGAACACCACCAACGGAACAGGTGCAAAATGATGCCAAATCCTTTAAAATTATTCATAAGAGCATTGTTAAAACATGCAGTTTGGTTATTTGTGACAGCTAGTTTCTTTTATTGACACCTTACCTGAACTAGTGTCATGTTAAAGGTTTTGTTTAAACTGTAGCTGTTGGGTTTGCAGATTAGATGCCAGCTTAATGTTACAAGCAAATATATTGTTGTAAAAGTATTTATTACTACTTTTAGTTGGCCTCCGAATTGGGTCACAGTCACTGTCTGTGAAAAGTGGCTTCAATAGTTCTTTTTTTTTCACAGTTGTAGCAGAGCAAGCAAGTAGACAAATGTGTTTTATGCGCAAGTATATAAAAACACATTTTTTGTTTTTGTCTTTGTTTCTAAAACTGGAGTTACACAGGCTTGAATGTAACTGAAAATAACTTGTTGAATTAGTTCTGCTTAAGTACTCAGATATTTCTTTACGTTTTTATGCTTTAAAACAATATTAAATAGCAGGATTGTTCTGTACATAATGCCTATTTCTATGTGATTATGAATCCCCCTAAATGTATCAAGCTTATAAGTGTTAAATTGATCCACAGATCACAGGCTTGGCAGACTTTCCCTGTCCGGTGATCTGCCTCTGGTCAGTCTCACAGTTGATAACGTCCACCTGGAGCACGGAGTGGTTTATGAGTACGTGAGCACCGCTGGAACCAAAAGCCACGTCTTAGAGAAAATCCTGGAGCCCAAAGGCTGCTTCAGCCTAACCGCTAAGGTAATTATGAAGAAATAAAAGGTATATTTACAAAGTAACATCGCAAGAATACCAAATCACAACAAACTGTCTCTGAAACACTTAAACTGTGCCTCAAGTTAAACCTCACAGTACTAATCACACCCATCTATTTCTTAAAATTACAAATGATTTGTAATATGAATGCCCATTACATTCATTATTTACACAATCTAACGTAAAAAAAAAGAATTCTTACAATCTTCACTGCCAACAAAAAAAAAATGCTGCACAGTTTCAATATTCTGTTTTTTGTCTGCTTTTAATTGTGTACTTTTTGTTTGCTTGTGTGCCTCCCTTCTTGTAAAGGCTTCAGCAGATTGATAATAGCATTACCATTTATTTTACATCCTCCGTTTAATTTTTTTAATATAACAGATAATAAATCTCCACTAAACGTGACATTTTTGCACAGTATGTTTATATCTGTGAAGACACTGAAAGCATTATTCTTTGCACACGCACACACCTCAGGGTTGCATCTTGTGGTTTCAGTAATTTGTTTGCTACATATTTATATTTATTTAATTTGCCTAACATGAGTAGGCAACACATCTCCTGTGTTCTCAACATTCAAATCATCAAAGATCTTTAAGAAGCAGAATGATGTTGGTTTCATTTATCCTTGTAGGGCTGGGCGATATGGACCAAAATGAATATCTTGATATTTTTAAGCTAAATCATGATATACTGTATATCTCTATTTTTTTATTTCCATAAAGTAATAACAAAAAAATATTTCTGAGTCCAAGATTTGTTCCAGTTGTCACACAGGCACATTTATTAACAAACAGCTGTAACTGTACAAATAAATGTCTAAAAAAAATAAACTATTTACATATCCATCCATCTTTTACCCGTGTCTTCCATTTTGGGTCACGGGGGTCGCCGGTGCCCATGTCCAGCAATCACTGTGCGAGGGGCGGGGTACACCCTGGACAGGTCACAAGTCCATCACAGGGACACACGGAGACAAATGAGACAAACAACCATTCACTCTCTCACTCACACCTAGGGACAATTTAGAGTTACCAGTCAGCCTAACATGCATGTTTTTATTCTGTGGGAGGAAACTGGAGTACCTGGAGAAAACCCACGCATACACGGAGAGAACATGCAAACTCCACCCAGAAAGGCCCCTGGACCAGGATTTGAACCAGGGACCTTCTCGCTGAGAAGCAGCACCTCTACCAGTTGTGCCACCGTGCTGCCCCTATTTACATATATTAAATAATAATCCTCTTTAGCTGTGCTGCTTTCACAACATTAGTAAGCATGTGTGAAGCAACACATGAGGGGCTGTGTTTGTATTCAGTGAGGGAGAAGGAAGGGCCGTGTGAAGGTGTGAAGGTGGCGGCGCAGACGGGCAGAAAAAAGAGAACTACCAGCACTGCACACAGATTTTCAAGTCTTACACTGAGAGCGCAACATTAATAAAGCAGTTTATCATATCGCTAAAGACATGGGTCCTTAGCAACTAACAAGATGACTAACTTTAGCAGTCTTGTTCCACATTTGAGTCTGGGACTGTATTAGCGGTATGATGCTGCTGTATTAATGTTGTGCTGTTCCTCTCATAAGGCACAGCACAGCTAAATGAGTTTTGACCCATGGTTTGTTTCAGGGAAGGAGGCTGAAGTCTGTCAGAGGTGCAGTTTCACACACGCTTCATACTCCGCTTATAGCGCTGTTTTAAATATGAAAAAGATTCGTAGTGCCGACCTTTTGTCGGGACTTGTTTTCGATATCGTCTACAGACATTTTTTTTCTGCTGCTCATCTGACAATTTAAATCAAAACCATCTCCAAATAACAGCCATTGATTTTTTTTTGCTCAGCAGCTAAGCTGCTCTTCGATATCCTCTCCTGAGTTTACATGTTGTAGCTAAACTCCCGCCCACCTGGAGAAGCAGGAAGTGGGGGGGGAACACGTGCGGGCGAGGTGCTGGGTTTGTATTCAGTGCGGGAGAAGGAGGGGCCGCGTGCAGTTGGAGCAGATGAGAGAAAAAGAACTACCTACAGAGAGTTTCATGTCTAATAGTACCTGTTGGTTGCTATAGAGCTATTTTACCATCGTAAATTAAAAAACTCGCAATACATAGAGTATATTCGACACAACACCCAGGCCTACTTCAGAGTTAACATTTTATCTAAACTAACAACACAGCTGTCTTGTGTTGCTGTTGATTCTTCCTTATCGGTGGTTCTTATCTTTTCAGATCCTGGAGGCTTTTTCTGGTGACGACAGCCTCTTCGTACATAATTGCAGCCAGCTCATCTCCCAGAGCGATCGCGTCGTTACCATGCCACAGTACGAGTTTAGACAAATCTGCGACACCAAGCTGGAGAGTATCAAACGGCGAATCAGCAGCTATCAGCAGGTATGGAGACATATTTATGTTGTTGTAAACAAAACTAAAAACAGAGATGCTGTGCAGTTTTTGGGGAAAATCCATTCATGCATCCATCTTTGCCTGCTTCTTCTTTTTTGGGTTATGGGGGGTCACTGGTGCCTATATTCAGCAGTCACTGTGTTAGAGGTGGAGGACACCCTGGACAGGTCTTCAGTCCATCGCAGGGACACATGGAGACAAATGAGACAAACAACCATTCACTGTCTCTCACACCTAGGGACAATTTAGTTACCAATCAGTCTAACATGCATGTTTTTGGTCTGTGTGTCTGGTGAAAACCCATACATGCACGTAGAGAACATGCAAACTCCACCCAGAAAGGCCCCCGGACAGGATTTGATCTGGCAACCTTCTCACTGAGAGGCAACAGCTGTACCAACTGAGCCATCGTGCCCCTTTTGGGGAATATAATCAGTGTATTTGTTAAAATAGGCAAAATTTGCATAAAAAATTGTGGTAACTTTCCCAAAGAAATCACTGCTTCCCTCCTCTGATATTCTTCATACGGAGCTCAGTGTTCATTTACCGTACTTATCATTATGATCTGAAGCTGCATATGTGTTTTTCAGTTCCCATGGTGCTCCATGACTGAGTGAATTATTGCCCACCTCATGGGCTGGCTGTCACCCTCAAACAAAGAATAAGCAAATAGCTTGAACAATTTAAATCATTGGACTCATCAGAGCTGGCCATGCGGCCCTTTAATGAGAGACAGGCTCTAAAACAACATTTTCAGACAAGAATTTTTAATGCAATGCACAGTTCAGGAAAAATATGTGGTTTTTGATCACTTAATATCAACCTCTTACAAAAGCCCTCCCTAAAATGAATCTTTACAGTGCTTTGAAAAATTCCTCAGACACTGAACTTTTCCACATTTTGTCATCTTACTGTTCTACCACAAACTTTAAAGAGTTTTACTTAGATTTTATGTGACAGATCAACACAAAATGGTGCATAATTGTGAAGAAGAAGGAAAAGGGTACACAAATTTAAACATTTTTAACAAATGAAACTGAAAAGTGTGACAAGCATTTGCATTCAGGCCCCTTTTCTCTGACTTGCAGCTGTAATTGCATAGATAAAAAGATGGTTCTACAAAGTATTGACTCCAGTGGGCGGCTGGATACAAATGCACATTTTCAAATTTTTCCCAATAAAACCGTTAGATCCTCACCTTTGTAGAAATGTTCAAGGTGTATGAATACATTTTAAGACCCTGTAAATAACAAAAAGTTGAGCTCTTTACATTTGTTGTTTGTTTATTACTAAAGAAGCAAAGTTCTCTTTGTAGTTTATTGAAATTAAGCCACTACACATCTCATCGTATGTCTATCATATTTGGCATTATCAATCAATCAACCTTTATTTATACAGGTAAATCCAGCCAGTTACCAATTATTTTATGGCATCATACAATTTTTGCCACACTTACACAAAAGCTGCACTGGCATGTACTAAACTACAACTTCACCCTGCGCTTAATGATTTATTTTTATCTTTTTACCCAGTTTTCCCAGGAGCTAAAGAACAAGGTGTGGCCCCCCTTCAGGCAGGCTGGTGCCCACCCTCACCCACTGGGCTGCATGGACTTTGTTCCCACAAACTGCCACATCAATTTGATGCAGGTCTCTTACCCCAAAAGCACTACCTCAGCCGGCAGGACGTTCAGCATCCGCTTTGGACGCAAAAACTCTATTTTTGGCATGGACCCAGACCAAGGTAGTACTAATGGGAATGCATCCCCTATCAGCTGTGGATATGTCACTGAAAATTTTCAACTAAGCTTTCCTGAGTTTTATGATAATACTTCTTAACCCACCCAGCTCGGTGATCATTTTTACTACTTACCATTTATGTCCTTTTAATTCCTGGGTTATTGAGGAGCATCAGCTGCAGCTGCTCACAATAACCCACAATGAGTGATTTGCCTTTAAGACGCCATTAACGTCACACTATTCTCATGTTATTGACATAAGAAATGAATGATATAAGCAAGGGTGCTGCTTTAAACATGTGTAGAAAGTGTGAAGTTGACTAACTACTGCTCCTGCTGGAAAGACAAAAAAGAGGAGAATGTGGTTTAAAAGCAAAAAAAAAATAATTAAAGATAAAGAGCTTGGAAATTCTGTATGTTTGGATATAAAACATCTTTCTTTGTCATTACAGCTCAGCTTTGTCATGACTGTGCTTGTTATTAATTAAGCTTTTTTTTAACTGCTGAGCTGTTTCTACTCTCAGCAAAGATGAAAATGCAATACAGCTGTGCAGATAAACAGACTGTTAGCATTGCTTGTTTTTTTTCAAGATGCCGCGTCTTCATTTTTCCTTTAAGCTTCAGCTGCTTGTCAGACATCTGCCCAGCAGTTGTCACTTTCTGACGATCAGCTTTGGTTGATGTCTCAACCTGACTACAACAATATAGAGGAACAGTCATTAGGTTTGCTGCCAGAAATAAATTTGTTACCTGTGATAAATAAAAGCAATTCTCTCGTTGACCACATCCGAATAGTTTTCAGTGGAAGTGTGGATTGTACATAAAGATGGGTGTGTTTAATGTTAGAATTTACACACCGTTCGTCACAAATTTATTCCATCTTCAAGGTTGTTCAGATTTTTGCTGCCAAGTTTGGCATTTTCCCCAAGAAAACAGATTTGCATCCTGTTTTTGCTCTTCATATCAGAAGTTGTTTTCGATTAAGTGGAAATGGAGACCAGACAACAATGTTACTCCACCAGTTTTCAACATCTGGGTTAGATTGAATTGTCTGAGATGCAAGTCTTTTTCATTCCATCACCACTATTCATTCATTCAATCTTTATTTATACAGGCTAATCATTGAGCCATGAGGACTCATTTACAAAGGGACCGAACATATAAAGTACAGACAACAAACAATAGCAGTAAACAATGACGACAATAAACTACAGTAAAAATGCAGTTAAAATAAAAGTAGTGTGTAAAACAATAAATCAGGGTGCCATAAAACGGGGTGAAATACTAAAAACAAGAACATATCTGCCATAATTTTTCCATTGACATTATCAAATGTTTGCAACCCCTTAAAGAAATGAAGGTGGACAACTTCAGTTCTTGTTGCAAGGTGTTCCCGGCTGCAGTAGCTGAGTAGGAAAAGGCCTTTTTGCCAAATTCTGTCCGCACTGAGGGAACGCTGCAGGTAATGATGGCCTGAGAGCACATGTAACTGCACTGATGGCGTGACATGTGGGAAGAGACATAAAAAAGTAGCAAACCAATGAGGGATTTATAGATGAAAATGAATTAGTGTGAGAGCCTACGTGTAGATAATAATGACCAACTGACCAATGAGTACAGAGTGCAGTGATGGGTACGGTAGTTACAACCAGTTATAAATCTTAGCGCTCCATGGTAGACAGCATCCAACATCTGCAATGACCTGGCAGGGGCATTCATGTAAATAATGTCACCATAGTCAATGGCCGGTAGGAAGGTGGCGGTTACAAGGCGTTTTCTGGCATTCAGACTTAAGCAAGATCTAATTCTGAAAAAGAAACACACTTTTAATTTAAGTTCCTTTATCAGGTTTCAATATGTGGTTCAAAAGAGAGATGTGCATCAATCAGTAGTTCCAAGTATTTGTAAGAATCTACAAACTCAATAGGAACTAACAGTGATATTCTGCTCCTCTCTTTGTCTTCTCCTGTCTCGTCCTGGTCCTGTAGCACAATTGAACCCCATGTCCCACACTCAGCACTGTGTGACCAGCATGGGCGCTCCTTCCTGGAACTGCTCCGGCCTGGAAGTGGACGAGGCGAACGGCAGCGGGGAGCCGACTCTGGATGGAGGCGAGGGTGGGATGGATGGAAGACAGGGCATCTATGGAGAGGGTGGGCTGAGTTTCCTGCTCAAACAGGAAGACACAGAGACACAGGACGCCTACATTTACTTGTACAGCCGCTTGGATGTTGCCCTAAGGGAAATGAAGCAGTATGTGGCACAAATAGATGTGTGAGTATTACAGCTCATACTTATACTGAGCCTTAAAAAGGCATCGATCCATAAAAATATAATGGTTCTACCTTTAAATACATTTTTGTTGCTTTTTCTACCTCACTGATACAAGTTAAAACAAGCCATGTTTTTCTTTTACCTAAATTTATTCAGAAAACGTTCTCAGCTTTAACCTCCAAGCATCCTTATCAAATATTGTCATTCCACTGTGTGTGCAAACTATTGCCATAGCCTTTATAGTGATATTTAGAAACTGCATAAAGAAAACCTAGGAGCAGTTATCTCAGACCACCTCCTCCCAAGGCTTTTATTTTGTCAGCTTCTCTTTGTCTGTCTGCCCTTTGCCTTATTTAAAGCTGAGGATTTACAAAAGGAACATTCTTAAGACCCAAAATATTTATGGGCCAGGCCCAGTACAGGAACAGGGAGTGAAGCCAGGATAACATCAAGAAAAAAAAAAACATGCATTGTATGTCCTTGCTGAGGAAGGGGTGTGACAACAGGAACAAATAGATGTTATTTTAATGTAAATATACCAGTAGTTGGATTTTTGTGGAAATTGATGCACATTTGAATAGATTTTTGTAATAAAAATTAATCCTTCTTTATTTTCTTTAGCCTCTTATCATCTATCACCGAACCCACACAACTGGAAGCAGAGAGTGGAGAGCCCCCGGCCGACGAGTCAAATCAGCCTCCTTCTTTGGCCCCCTGTGAGGATGGCTGTGATCAGGATAAAACGGAGCAAGGAGGTATTAAAAAAGTATGCTTTAAGGTGATTGAAGAGGACCAGGAGGACTCTGGCCACGACACAATGAGCTACAGGGACTCCTACAGGTAACTTTTAACGAGATGAGAAGTTGGTAAAAGTCTGAAAATAAGAGTTGTTGTAGTTTTTGGGCAAATTTGAAGTAAACCTATACAACCACTTAATAAAAAAAGGTGTCACTGTAAAAGAAATTAAAGTAGCGCCTATATTTTGAACCATGGACCCTATAAAATAAAATAAAATATTTTACCCCACAGATTTGAAATGCTTCCCCCCCTGGGAGACTAAAATTGATTCCAGATGTTGGAATTTCAACAAGTCGAAGGCTAAAAATGGCTTCAAAGTGTCCGAGTCAGATTTGGTTATGTCATTTGCGTATTGTGAGTTAATTCAGGTCTTTTCTGCGCGTGCACAGTTCACTGGGCCGAGCACACCAAGCCCCACCTTCCACCACCCACTAAGATGCAGTTATTGGTTGTTGGTGCGGTAGTCTTGTGTGTAATAGAGCCAAACGCTCAGGGCGCGCCTCCTAACCCACTCTGTCATTAAAGCCAGGCCATGCCACGTAAAATGCAACGACCTCATCATAGTAAAATGTAAAGGAAAATGCAAGCTGCTGTGTGTAGCACTCATATATACACATGCACACACAAAGCTATTCACTAATTGTTTAAAAGACCAGTGGGGAGGAAAAAACACTGTTTTAATGTAGCAGTAAACAAAGCTTTGCTGTGAAATGTAAGGCTTTGGTTGACTAAAATGTACTGTTGTGCTTTAAAGAGGGTGGATTTTATTTTATTTTCCCTGTTGAGGGAATCGGATAAAGTCAGAGGTGGTGACAGGGCACAGCAGAGGTCAACACTTAAATGCCACTTGCCGTGTTCAGTAAAAAAAACAAACAGAAAAAGCAGCGTTTGTGAAAGAGACACTGATTTCTACATGCACAGACTGTGTGGTTTTCAGATTTGATGCACGTTTTCTCCTAAAAACAACATGTCTGCTGGCAGGACTTTTAGGCTCTGTTTTGTACAAAAAGGTGGCTCAAAGACGGAGAAAAACAGACTTTATTTAGACGAGCAAGAGAGTTATGTGGAAAAAGTAGTTTAATCCGATTACTAGCACATTGTGTGTCTTAAATCACTGTTTTTGATGCGTACCTGTGCTTGTGGGGCCCTTTTTTGGCCTTTTGTCTTATCTAGAGTGTATCCAGATCCAGCGGAGGCAGATTACAGTTCATCTTATCTGTCAGATTATATCCCAAGTGATTGATTCTCCCTGAATACTTAAAATGCCAAATCATCTTGGTCGTCATTACTGTCCCCTTAAATGAAAAATGAAGCCCTCTATCGTTTATACATTTTATGCGTTGTCTATTAATTTTTGTTGGCCAGTGATCAATACTTCAAGGAATGCTTGGCCTTCAATTGATAATATTGTACATTATGTTTACAGATGGCATTTCTACAAACAATGCAGTAAAATTAAATCGATCCCAGTCTTTTTTATAATTTTTGTACTTTTTTCCCCATTAAATCTTGCATACAGTGATAGAGTATGCAAGATAACAAAGCTGTTAATGAGCATAGTTTGTTCTCGGTGCACATGTGAATACATTCCTTTCAAATCTCTTCTTTTTGAGTTGTAAATATATTAATATTTAAAGTGATCCCCCCGCTCACTAGAAGCAGAATTTATATATTAGTGGTGCGCACACTTCTGGCAGCAGTTCTGCAAACCTAAATTAGGAAATTACCTTTGTGTGTGTGTGTGTGAGAGACAAACACAGCCAGAAAGAGTGTGTGTCTCTTGACTTCAAGCCAAATGCAGATGCACATATCCAGATGGGGAATTAACCAAGTTATGCACACTCTCCCCCCAGAGTTTTATTGCTTCAGTGGTCCCACCACCCTACCAGCACAAATACACACTGGTGCACATTTAAATACACATATGAAGTAACAGAATCGCAGGGCAGGTGATATCTGGACTAGCTGCTGTATTTTTTTTTCAATAAAGCCTGATATTAGTAGCTACTGATGTTGTTTCAGAGCTTATGGTCAGCCTTTTGTCAAAGTAACTTGGATTATGAATCATTCAGCACTTCTCTGAGGGGATTTCAACCGTGATCACTAAAATCTATGTATAATTTGAGTCACATAAATCCTGCACGTGCTCACAGTAATCATGTTGAATCGTGATTGTAAATGTCAGACAGTTATTGAACAAGAGTCTCGTAGAAAGGCAAAAATTGTCTGTGCATACCGATAAGTAATCTCAAACGCATTGACTGCACAATGAAAGCAGTTTGTGTAAAGAACTTTTTTAAGTTTAGATTTAATGTCATGTATTATTAGTCATAAGTTCAGGAATTTAATACACATTTACTGGATGCTCCTCGGTGTAAACCAAATAGCGGTGGTTGTTGTGAGAATCATTTTATTACTTTTGGTCGGGCATGTAGTAAATCAAAAAGGACATATACAATCAGGAAGATTATTCAGCCACATAATTACAAGATGCGGCTTTCCAAATCTTCCTGGTGGTTAATGTACTGAATGAACTCTGCTGTGTAACGCATGTTAAGACTGTGCATTTTGTGTCTTTGCGTGCAGTGAATGCAACAGCAACAGAGATTCAGTTCTGTCCTACACCAGTGTGCGAAGTAACAGCTCTTACCTGGGAAGTGACGAGATGGGATCAGGTAACAGATGGCCCGTTTCAGCGGTCAAGATGTCCTCCGATGTTTACCTAGAGTACTTCTTGTATTATTGCTGTCCTTTTGTTTACAGTTGAAAACTGTAGTTCAGTCATGTTTTGGATTTCAAGCTAACTGTGTGATTTTAGATGTAATGCTAGACAGACATTTTTCGAAGGGTTGATTGTGGTCAGATGCTTTAAGAACTCTTCACAACCCCACAACCACATTTTTGTTATCTGAGCCAAGTATGTGTCTATTTATTATTCCCCTGTTTTTACTGGCATTAAACAATCCAGTCTGATTCTGTTAGAACATCTAATTAGTCTTCTCTCATCTATTTGGATGCTTTAATTGGAACTAGAATATATAAAAAGTGTTAAATGCATAGCCCCATCGCCTCTTTACTGTTTTCCTCTCCATTAGGCGATGAGCTGCCATGTGATATGAGGATTCCTTCTGACAAACAAGACAAGCTGCACGGCTGCCTCGAGCACCTTTTCAACCAGGTGGGTTATATTCTACATCAGTGGTTCTTAAACTTTTTATAATGAGTTCCACTTAAATAAAATACAAAGCTCTTCAAGTATCACCTTTTTCCAGGCTTGTAAACTCGTGTAACAGCAAACTTACAAATGTTTTGGTTAGCTCAATGATTTTAATAATTTTAACAGTATTTTCATGTTATTTCCTGGGATAAACTAAAATATGGGATCCTCACTGTTATGTGCCAGTCTGTGCCTCACATTTAACTCCGTACTTTTCAACTTTGGTGTCTGGACGGATTTAACATGAACCGTTAAGATATGAAAAACACACTTAACCCTGGCTGAAGGGTTTGTTTCAGGATTTGATGATTCCATACATTCATTGCAAAGTACATCACCATATACATTTACAGTCTTAGATTTTGCGTTGCCCCACATAAACTACGTAAATAAAAATATGAGAAGTTTAATCAAATTTCCTCTCTTTTTGAACCTTTTGTTGCTAGAGGGTCCTAGAGAATCTTAATTAGCCATTAGCTCTCTGGTTAATCATTGTCCACCCAAGTTTCCACTGAGGTTGTCAAAATATTTGTCAGCACAGAATAGTTTTAATTTGCTTTAACTACCCATCTGTTTGGGTATTATAGTACTACTTTTAAGCTTTACCTAAATGTTCAGATTATGGTGATAATTAGCTTCTTTAACTAAATACTTTATGCCAAATTTTCTTTGAGACCAGTAAAGTGTTTCTGAATAACATCAGTGATACTTTTACCACAGTTTGAGAACCATGTCTCTTCGTCTATTAGTGCTTTTAGTCTATTGCTCCTTCTGCAAATTAAGCTAGCTGCTAGTACTAAAGTGGCTAACAATGCTACTTGCAGTAGCACCTAGAAAGTTGCAGGTTGAACTCCCTGCCATGCCCACATGTCATGGTGTCCTTAAGCAAGACGCCTAATCCCTAACTGCTCCCCGGGTGCTTACATAGCTGCCCACTGCTCCACCCAGGTGTAGCTCACGTGTGATGGGTTAAATGCAGAGAGCTAATTTATTCGTCATTGTGTGTAAGCAAACAATGACAGCACATCACTTTATAATAAATATGTAATACATATGGTAAAGTAAAACAGTCATGGAAAAGAGGAAGCAGAAATAAATATGAAGGTAACAGAAAGTGGAAAGAAAATAAAAGAAGGAAATGATACATAAAAAGTTAGTCATAAACATAAGAACTTGAGCTCAAAATACACAAAATAAAACCAAACTAATAAACAACAACAACAAGAAAGGGAGTGTTATATTTAGTCCTAATTTTGGCAGCTTCAGTCCTTCGTAGAAGTTGACTTTCAGCTGTGCTTCACTAATCCCCAATGTTAGCCCAAGGCTAAAACCAAAGGATGAGGAAACAAGAAACACGCGTGTCAACGTTAACCCTTAGGAACAGATTAATACAATAATTACCAGTCAAGTGGGATGAGTTACTTCATGTGGCTAGATGTCCTATGTTGAGGGACTTTTAACCTACCTACCCAAGCATAACCCCCAGCCCCCTTCCTCTATACCCAAGGGCTTTTCACTGATACATTGACATACTTAAAAACATCCATCTACCTTTTGATCTCCTCTTGGCAGTAAAAAGTGCACCCAGTTTGGCTGCTCTGATTCTTTACATGTAAACTGTGGCTAAGGGGTCTGCAAAGATGAGTGTTCGTGTTGAAAGAGCTTTGCCTGAAGCAGAGCTACTGTATGTCTGTATGTGAATGGATTAGAAATTTGCTATATCGCAGTTTTTCAAAGTAAGATTGGTAGGGGTGCACCAATTGCAGTTTTATGGCCAATCACCGATTTCTAAAAAGTTTGGCCTGCCGATTCCAATTTTGGCCTATACCAATTTTCTTTTATAAGTGACACTGTCGGGTGTTGGAAAATTGATGCACCTTCAATTTTCCAATATTATTTTATTGAAAAGCATACCCTTGAACAAGATCCTAGAAACAATACAGTTGTTTTAACTGGCCATGAGGTAGTGCTCTGAAATATAAATGAAGTTCAGACAACTGATGTTAAAACTAAAAGAATCTGTAATATCGGTTTCTCATGTAGGTATCGGCCGATTTCCCCAAATTAAGGAAATCGGGACCGATAAGTCAGCTGGCCGGTTTATCGGTGCACCCTTATTGGACATGACACAATTGGCTGGTTGATGGACGAGCATAGGTTGTTTATTTAAAATAAATAATTTTAAATGATTTTGCACCATGTGTGTAGCCCACAAGTGGAAGGGAAAGCTTCCTCCTGCAGCTGATCAGCTGATCTCCTTCTCTGCCACACACACATTTGTCCTGTTGCAGCTTTTAACCCTTTGCTGTCCAGATGTACCGATCGATTTTTGTCTTCCAACTTAAAATTCAAAGTACTGTGTGTCGCATCGTAAAATCGTCATAATCCATCCATCCGTTATCTTTTACCCGCTTCTTCCATTTTGGGTCACGTGTGTCGCCGGTGCCCATGTTCAGCAATCATTGTGCGAGGGGCGGGGCACACCCTGGACGGGTCGCAAGCCCATCACAGGACCACATGGAAAATCATCATAATCACAAAATAGAAAAGTGTTAGAAGTTATTTTTAATTATATTAGAACTTCTATGTTCAGTTGTTTCAGTGTAATTGATCAAGAAGTACATTTCTGCTCCGTGCTGCAGAGCTGAAGCTGTGTGACATCCCTTTGATGTCCTGCTGCACTTCTCTTCTCTACAATTTAAATTTAAATACTGTAACATTTTAAATAAACAATCCATGCTGCGTGGATTGTTTATTTAAAATGTTACAGTATTTAAATTTAAATTGTTTATTTAAGGAGAGAGATTGGGAGTAACAGGTGATGTGTGATTGCAGCCTGGCACGTCATGACAAAGTTTACTGAACTTGAAGTGAACTTGGAACTTGGACTACTGTATCCCCTACTTCACGGTTTTTCACTTATCACGGGTGGGGGTAGTCCCTAACACCCACGATAAACGAGGGACTACTGTAGTAGTAAAGGAATTGTTTAAAATATAGAATCTTGAAGCACAAAGCATTTGAGTTTACAGACAGTCATTCTGAATGTGTTCTGTTTTTGTACAGGTTGAATCAATTAACGGACTCCTCAAGGGACCTGTTATGACCAAGGCCTGCGAGGAGACCAGACACTTTTACTCTGACCACAACCAGCCAGGTACACGTTTGGTTCAGTTTGCTCCTTACAAGATGGTAAGGTGTCTCATTACGCTAATGTTGGGGAGCAGGCATTCGAACAAACACACTGTGGTTTTCTGCAGAGTTCCGTCAAACAGACGACTGGACTGCCCGCTGTCGTTACGTTATCTACAAGAACATCCAGGAGGACCCTTGGAACCTGCCCAACTCAATCAAGACCCTGGTGGAAAGTCTGCAAAGATTTGTAGATGGTGAGTTGAACATACTCTTGTCATACGATCACATACCGTACAGTACCAATCATTTATTCTAACTATCTTTGTGTCTTAACAGAGGGAAAGAACCAGCTTCTTCTGGCTCTGCTGAAGTGCACAGGTCAGTGCTAAAACAGATAACAGCTCATATCCAGGGTGAGGCTGTGACTAATGGTCAGTTTTAATTTTCCATGAAATTACCAAATGAGACACTCTGTACTCTCTTGGGAAACAGGGAAGGTGTTATTACTTGAGTTCTATTTCGTATAAGCTTCGCTCTTTAAGGCTGTCGCTGATGGTTTATCCCGCAAAGCATCGCACTGTTCAGTGTAATGCTTTCGCATAACGGGATAAACCATCAGCGACAGCCTTAAAGGGCTACGCTTATACTCATAGAATCTGGGGTTACAGTACGTAGCCAACATTTTCCTGGTAGACTACTGTATTTTTTTTTAATTAGCTGTGTTACAGGCACTGTTCAGGAAAAATAAAACATTTACTATATTTGTGCGTGTTACGGGTACGTATTTAATTAAAAGTAAAAAAAAAAATTCTGTGTAAATAGCTCATGTTACAACATGAACACCTGCAGCTTATACACAAGTGCAGCCTATTTATGTAAAATTTTAATTTCCTTTTTAAATTTAGCTTATAGCTTATATTCAGGTGCGCTCAATAGTCCAGAAATTATAGTAAATAAATTTTTAAAACGTTTCAAATCTGTTGATTATTTGATTTTTCTTTGAATATTTAACCCATTCCTGCCCTGCTCCCCTGGTCCACCCTCACTCCCCAACACCTACTAGCAGCTGCTGCTTCAAAAATAAGATCAACTTGAAGCAATTTATGTTTCTTACAACATACTTATTTTGTCCTTTATTCATGCATGGCTCATGCCCATTGTTTAACTTGTGTTAAAGTACAGTTTACTAAAGCAGAGTTCTGCAGCTGCAAAACCCTCTAATGAAACAGAGGTTTTCATACAAAGACGTGCTGCTGCTAATTCTGTTAGCTTTTTATTAATTGATTTTCTCAAGTCAAATGAATCTACATGGACAAAGGATGCACATATCCTGGCAGTAAAGCTGAGCTCACTCATGCCCAAAATTTCTACTTTATTATCTTTTCAAAATAAACTACAAATGTCAGAAACAGTTGCTGGGAGTGGGGTTTTTAATTTTTTTTAGAGCAATATGAAAATGAAATTTTTTAATAGGACACATAATGATGCTCAATATGATTTAATGTTTGTAAAAGATCACAACTGCTTTATTTTGTAATGCAAACGTGTTTTAATTAATTTCTGTGTGCTTGTTCTGAAATGACACCTTGTCCAGTTGAATTCCTGTTTCTTCTGCACATATCTTCACTCTCAGCAAAGTATTTGCATATTGTTGCTTACACCTCCTTCAGGACTCCTTTAGTTCTTTTATTTCTGACATTATCATGTCTGGCCCTCTCTCCTTCCTCCCCACAACAACAGACACGTCTCTGCAGCTGCGACGTGACGTGATTTTCTCCCAGGCAGCGACGGGCGCCTTGTGCACGTTGGCCGAGCAGCTGCTGACGGCCTTGCGGTCGAGGTTTAACAATGCTGGCGAGTATCAAGAAGACAGCAAGGAGACCAGCCGCAAGTGGCTGGAGCAAACATCTGTCATTGGTGTTTTGCTACACTTTCAGTCCACGCTCTCTCCACATCTGGTGAGACAATATTTCATTTAATGTCATAAGCATATGATCGTAGCTTCATATAATATGATAAAACTTGTTAAAAGAACACCACCACCAAAATATTTTGCATTTTCAGTTTTATTTACTTCCTGAATCACAAGCTTTGGGTCACTATGACTTTTTTAGCTATGCAGCTGTCTCCAGCACTTTGAAAACTCTCATCCTGGTGAGTTCAGCGCTTTTTTAAAAATTTGTCTTCTGGCAGAAAGAGGAGCGGACCATGCTGGAGGACACCAAGGCAGCCCTGTTAGACTTGGACAAAGTCACTGTGTCATTCAAGCAGCTGGAGGACGAGTGTCTAGTTGCAAGTAAGAGACTCCATCATCAGTGACCCGGCATTGCCTTTTCAGACCACATAGCTAATGAGCAGCTGGACGGTTTGACCAGCTTCAAATAAACTTCTGTTTTACGGATGTATGGAACTTATTGATAATTACAGGCTGAGAATTCCTTGAGGGAACGTGTATCGCTCTCCACCCTTTATGCCAGAGTTTTAGACTACGTTTATCTTATGTTGACGAATGACAGAGTTGTAGTCATTTTGGTCAAACCTTGAGAACAAAAGTATGCAGCTTCTACTAGGCCTGTCACGATAACAAATTTTGCTGGATGATTAATCGTCTCAGAAATTATTGCGATAAACGGTAGGTAATATTGTTTGAAATTTGACAACAATTAGAAATTATTGTCAAATTTAAGAAGAAATGTTGTTTAATTTTTGTGTGTAGTACCTTTTTGTGACCACCGGATGGCAGTATAAGACTTTTTGAACGGAAGGATGGATAGTGAGGGAGCGAGCAGCATGTCTCTTTAAGAAAAATGGGAGGGAGGACCCTTGATGTGACACGGGCTGTCTCTCGTTCCTGTTTTTCAGTTCTCAAAGCTTTTAATAAAAAAAATCAATAAATAAGTTTTCAGCTTCTTTTTGCAGAGAAAAACAACTTTTTAGACGAAGGCACAGGTTTCAACCGTGAATTTTGGAGCTTTGACAAGACGGACGTTTTTTCACGAGGTCGGCCTGTCAGCTTAGCTCGTATCTTAGCTTCTCAGCTTAGCTGCTTTTAATGATCCAAAAATGCAGTTTTGGATGGTTAAAATGGATTTTAAAGAGAAAAGAGTGTCTTCAATAGAAAGAGAGAGACATGAAGAAACAATAAAGCCGATAAATGAAAATTAGGTTGATCATTTTATCATGTGATTAATTGATTTATTGTTTATCGTGACAGACCAAGCTACTACAATAACTAATTTTAAGTATCTGTAAAATGTACTTGAGTTGTAACCAGTTTTATGTTGACTAGTGTTGAATGGTGGCCATCTTGATTTGGATTGACTTCAGAATGTAATCAGACATATATTCACTTTTACTTTCTGAAAGTTTCATTGAAATCTGTAGTTGTTCATGGGATATTTTGATAATAAACACATGAACACACACATACACACACACAAACATCACTTAAAGTGTGCCAGTCTGTTAGTTTTTTTTTTAAATTTTGTCAAAGGGTTAAAACAACAATGTGCTGCTACATAATTTGTCTTTAAACTGAGCAGAACATGGAGCTTCTTTATATCTTCATTATTTTTGTGTCACTGATAATATGATGCTTTCTGACGGAGTGTGATGGACTTAATTTATGGATCAGAAACGCATGTAACACTTGCACATGTGTAGTTGAAACTCCCTTAGATATAAAGCATTAAAAAAGTATAATAATGTAAAACGTGTTCAATGTTTGCATTACTTTTGATTTGGACTTGAGGACAAAATATTTATTTTTGAGTAAGAATTGTGGGGTTCCATTGTGGTTTGAACTGATAATGCACCCAGTTTGTTTAAATTTGGCATTGTTAGCATGTTCAGAAACAGTACATGCATTTTAAAACTCTGGTGAAATTTAGCATTTCAATAACCTTCAGTGTTTGTATTCATTGAAAGTACCCGGGTTACAGGAAGTCTTAAAGCCAACAGACACAAAAGATGGCTTCATCTTGCATCAGTGCTCTTTTCAACATCCTCAATGTGGTCAGCAAAGATTGATGCTCAAAGGAAAAGCACTTCAGGCACTTCCTTTTTTTTTTTACCAGGCAAAGATGCGAATTAAGCAGAAATGCGCTTTTATAGATTTATGCTTAGCTGCAGAAAGTAGGTTGTATACAAATGTAGAGAGCGGTGCTCTAACATGTTGCTGTAATTTGTTATATTCTCTAGCAGTGAGTAATTTGCAATGATTTATAATAAGTTTATGTAGAAATTGTTTTTGAACAAGCTTCCCTGCTGAAGTTTGCAGATCGGCTCAGACTGCTGCAGTGCAGGTAGGTGGTCTGTGGCGTCAGAATAAACTGGACTGTATTGATTTGCTAATAGCATCATCAGTGAGCTGGGAGACGTTGGTACAAACATGTAACCCCCACACAGTGTGAGGGGCGTGCATTCAGTCTGAAGCAACCAGCAGATTCTGGCTTGATGAGTTTTCTACGACTGAGCCCAAAGGTCTGGTGGTAAAAGTGATTGCTTCCATTTTCTCAGGACTGGTCAGCAGTCACTGGTAATAAAATGTGATGAGAATCAGCACAAGGTGACTTCATATTGCTCTGTTATTTCATGTTCTTGTATAATTAAATTCTGTATATTAAGATCATTTTTTCATACAACTTTTGTTTTAGGTGCTAAGGGATACGTAGATGAAAGTCATGCATTAAAGACTAAATATAAATATTTATAGGGTATAGAAGAAAAAAATTACCATCTACAGCAAATCTATCGACAAAACTCTGGAATATTATTCAGTAATGTGCAGAAGTTTTAGTCCAGCTGAGTTCTTTGTAATTGTTTTTTAAGAAACCAGACTTTCTTGTAATCTTTTAAGCAATATTTCTCCAGTCTCAAAATCTCTTTCTTGATTATTTATTTATTTTTGGATCGGGTGGGAGTATTGTCATTGCCAACGTTTGGATCACCTGATACCAAAGGTGATAATGCTCATGCAAGATGTCACAGCATCACATGAGAGATCGCATAACGTTGTTTACAAAGTTTGACCAAAACAGCTACAACTTCATCACTGCTCTGCATGAGATGATCTTAGTTTAAAGCTCTGGTATGAAAAATAGTGGGAGATATGCAATAACTTGGATCAAATTGTGTTATAGTGGCATGCTCATAGTAACAAAGCAGCTGATGATAAAATTTAAAGTTTATTTAGTTGTATCCTATGTGAAAACACAAAACTGATATATCTTGCCCTTTTATGCTTGAATGAATCAGCATTAAAGTGGCTTAAACACATGTTCCTTAAATGGTAAGATATAAAGACAAGACTTCAAGTTAGTAAAGAAAAGAAGACAACATCTAAAAAAAAACCTTTAGCATTTTGCTCCTTTGAAGCGAGATACAAAGAACAGTTTCAAGACCATGATCTGTTAAAAGTCTCACACCATGAAACTAGAAATCAACCTTTGTTCATCACCTGATAAATTTTCACAAAATGTACACATGTAACAATGTAAAACAAAAAAGAAGCTGATGTTAATTTAACATAGAGCTTTTATTGGAGATCAAAGTAAAAAAAAAAAACAGATTAAAAGTGGTACAAACAACTCAAACACAGTTTACTGCCAGACACGTTCGTCTACACTGAGTGTAGCTGTGTAGAAGACATTTTCATCCAGGGATTCAGATCTCCCATGTTCAACTCTTCTGCTGTCCCTGCGTTACAGACACACCTGTATGTTACCAGGTGGAGGGCAGCCGACATGCGCTGAAGGTCACCATGTACCTGGACAGCTGTCACTTCAGTGAGCTGCCCAGTCGGCTGCAGAATGGAGGCAGCCTCAAGATCCAGACGGTCCTCTTCACCAGAGGTAAGACTGAGTGGACTGATACTGGAAATATCAACACCATATGCAGCTGGATTATGTTTTTCTATACTCTGTAAAATCATTCAGTTTCAGGACCAAAGCGATTCATTTTTAGACTTTCTCTGAGTATTAACATTGTTTTTGACAAAAAATAATGTAGGCTATTTAGCTGAAATGCATCTGAATTGCTAAATCAATCGAATATATTAGGCACAAAGATTTGACGCCTTTAAAAACACTTATTGTGTCATGCATTCTTACAACCTGATGCACAAGAAGTACATCTGCTGATAGCTCTAGGTGCTTTTATTAGGTTAGGCTGAAGCCTTTTATTGGACTCTCCCACCTTTGCACTTTCTTTTGTTCCTGTTAGTTCTCCATCAGGATCATTCTGAGAGCATTATGCTTCTTGCCAGACTGCCAAATAGCCATTCATTTTCCATACATAAGTGCTAACTGGAACTCTAATTCAATGAAATGGCTCATATTGTTCTCACATCAGAGTCAAACACAGCTTAGAGTTTTAGAGTTGCAGAGCTCTGTGGAGGAACATCGCCACCTACTGGTAAAGCTACCCACCTGTAGAAAGAAATGTCCTAATGTTAATAATCCAGGGAGGACGGGTTCTTATTTGTTGAAACATTTTAATTTTTATTCAAAATACTTTTTCAGTCTGAGGAGCTGCAAGCAAAGTTGTGGTGATTTTCAGGGGGGACACCACCCCCGCCACATGGAGGTGTCAAATGCTCACAAGTGTGAAGTTGCACATGGAAAACTAATGGCGGCTCCAGTCAAAAGTTTTTCTGCACTAAGAACAGTTGCCGGTACAATAAATGGCAGAGAGCAGAATGATTTTTGTGCTACTCACCATTTTTTCAACACGTAGGAGCAAAAACGATCAAATCCAGGGTCCAAAGAGACGTCAATGACGTATGCACCAGTTTTGATGTAACTGTGATCATGCAGACACTGCATGCATGATTAATGCAGCGGAGCCTGTCAAGGTTGCCAGATAAATTTAAAAAATTTTTTTACCTTCTCCTTTTCTGTGTACACGTTCAACAAACAAAACACACACCTCATTTTACAACATGCCCATTCAGCACATATGACAGTTTAGGTCAAAATACTGTCATTTTAAAGCGACAGAACTATACTTCATCATTTCTTATCTGGCAACCCCACTGACATGGAAACTTACAGTGACCCCAAGGTGTAAATGAACATTTAAAAAAATTAAATTAAATTTTATAAATGGAATCACATTAGAAAAAACTGAATTGCACTAAGCCAAAGCGGAAGTGGCCTGAATCACATTTGAAAAAACAGAATCACATTTGAAAAAACAGAATTACATTTGAAAAAACAGAATTACATTTGAAAAAACAGAATCACATTTGAAAAAAACAGAATTACATTTGAAAAAACAGAATCACATTTTTAAAAATTGGATTACATTTGAAAAAACAGAATTACATTAAGTCAAAGCGGAAGTGGCTGGAATTGTATTAGAAAAAACGGAATCACATTTGAAAAAATGGACTTGCATTAAGCCAAACGGGAAGTTTTTTTTAAACTTTATTAACTTATTATTTATTAATATTATTGTTATTATTATTATTATTTATTAACTTTATTTTTCAAATGTGATTCCGTTTTTTTCAAATGTAATTCTGTTTTTTCTAATGTAATTACTTTTTTCAAATGTAATTCCGGTTTTTCGAATGTTGTTCATTTGCACATTAGGACCACCATAGAAACTACATTCATGTCATTTCATGTAAACGTGCTATTTTTTTGTTTATTACCCCCAATAAACATTGAAAAAACACTGGACCTCAGTCTCCCCGATAGCCTGTTTAGCAAGCGGCCATCAGGGCACTAACGATTGGTCGTTAGACTGATGATCCGTCTTTATTATGTGAACAACTAGTTTTGACTGCCACCAGCAAACTGGTTGATCCACTATTAGAAGGTTCTGCCGTTACTGACTTACAGGACGGTTTGTTGCAGCTTCTCAGACAGAAATGTCTTGGGTAAAAGACGAAATGTTTCAACAAAGGAGAACCCGTCCAGAGGACCTGACTCAACCTTGTTAGACTGCAGAAAGAAAGTTCATTGTGGTACTGCAGATTGCAGAGTGAGGATATCCAGGCTAATTCTTTACATTTATTGTGTTTTTAAAACGAAGGGTCTGAACTCAAAGGTTAATTCAGTAACAAGATATTTATGTAAGCGTAAACCGCAAAGATCAAGTTTAATGAGCAAAAGGTTGTGGAAATTAGTGGGGTGTTTTAATAGATGCACTCCCTTCTATGTTGAAAAAAAATCCCTCCACACTTTTATGTTCCAGCTCTGGAGCGTCCAGAAGGAGTGTCCCAACAGGACTATACGGACATGGAGGAGTTCCAGCAGCGCATCAACGCTGTATCGCTAGAGAGGGTGAAGGCTTACTACCGCAGACTCAGGTACTTTGTGCTTCACTGCATCGCAGCTCCTCAGAGGCTTCACCAGCACTCTGTAAATATTTCACTTCAAAAAAACACTTTAGTGAGCTGCGTAACCGACCAAAAACACAGCAGTCTGCATTACATTTTTAATTTATGTTGAAAGACTTGAAATTTTTCACGGTCAGACCATTTATCATTCGTCCTTTGTCATCACTAAATTTTCAGTTCTACCAAAAAAGCAACATAGACTGATTAAGTCTCAATATTTAGTTTGCGTTTTAACACACTTGATATATGGTATTTTATTAAACTTTGATATGAAAGGTGATCATGTTTTAGTTTATTTTTAAGTAACATTTTATTTCAAATGCAGTCAGAAAAATCAAAGACGTCATCTTCTGTGTAAAGTTTTCTGTTCAAAGAATTAGTTTCAAATCATCTGGTTCTTAACAGCTATGATAAATATGTAAATATCACCTCTCAGTGTACAACACATAAATGAAATCACCGGAGTTCATTTCACAAACTAAACTCACCCTTACACTTGGCATGTAAATTAGAAAAGGAAGTAGCAGCCAGATGCTGCTAATCAGATAGCGCTGGTGTAAGAGCAGATCCTCATTCTATAAAGAGGACAGTGAGTTTTGAACGAACTACAGTAGTCCGTCACTTAACGCAGGGGTTACATTCCAGACACCCCCACTATGGATGAAAATCTGCTAAGTAGGAACATTATATTTATTTTATATATTTTAAGGCTTTATAAATTATTCCCACACTTTTGCAATGTTCTAAACTCTCTAAACGCCCTAAAAGAGCACAGCAACAGAGAGCAGACTGACTGATGCTACGGGTACTGAGCCCCAGGGGCGGACTGGTCATCGGGAGCACCGTGACATTGCCCGGTGGTCAGTGATTGCCGAGGGGGACTAAAGGCTCTGTTCGGGTCGTGCTTGATTATTTTAAATAAACAACCCATGCTGCTCGTGCGGCTCACTCAGGTATAAGACAGACTCACCCCCACCCCTACTTTCTTTTTTTGAGGCTGTCTGTTGCGCGCCTGCCTGTTGTGGAACTCTGGGACACAATGGGGAAGGACAGACCCCAAAGCCACCCCCTACTTTCTCTTTCTCTGCTGTGGCAGGCAGCCTCAGAAACAGAAAGGAAGGAGTGGGGGTGACGGTTTAGCTTATATCTGAGTGAGCCGCGCTCAGCCACTCTCTCTCGAAACTGATTCACTCTTATTTTTCAACCTAAGCATTTTCTTCAATGTTCTGCATTTGTTCATTTGATCTTTTCATCCCTGCTCCCCTGCCCCCTCCTTTCTCTTTCTGAGGCTGTCTGTCACAGCAGTGAAAGAGAAAAGGGGGGGGGGGGATGTCAGTCTTTTCCCAACACCTCTGCTGTGACAGACAGCCTCAGAAAGAGAAAGGATGGGGAGAGGATTGCTGCCCGTCTTTCTCCATCACCAGTCATGCGTCGTGTACAATCTCATGTTGAAAACTCATGAAAGAGTGAGTCTGCAAAAGACGAATTGCAAAGTATCGAGGGACTACTGTACGTTCAAGATTTTCAGATGTGCTAAACGTCTCAGTAAAGGACGTCACCCTGAGGTTAGATTATAGGATGCTCAGAAAGCTCTCCCACCTCAGTCAGCATGTTACATGCTACTTTAACACCAGAACAGAAAAACATTGAACAAACGCGGCTTATTTGGGAGCGTTGTCAGAAAAGAAAATGTTTTCCCTGAAAAGAACTTGGGATTACAATTGAAGTGTACTTTTCAGTGTACTTTTGAAAGACTAGACCAATTTTGCGAACATGTTTTACAAAACAGCTGAAAACCAAACGTAGTCCCCTCCATATACCAACCGTGAAGCACAGGGGTGGAGGGGTAATGATCCGGGCTTGTTTTAGAGCATCTCGTAGTCATTGAGTTGAATATGACCTCCTCTGTAAATCAAATTATTTCAGTCAATTATGAATGTTTTAGCTGATTCTTGGCATAAATTTGTACATTCAACAAGATTATAATCTCAAGCGTACCCACAAATATAAACAAAAAAGCCTCGAAAGATGTCAATTTAAATACTCATGCATCAGGTTATTCAACCAAACTTAAAGAGCTGGTAAGGATAAGATTATTTATTATTTTAGAGTACAATAAACCTTAGAAATAAGAGTGTACCTACTCCTTCCCGTGACTGTTTTTAAATATACATGTGTTTAAATCAACTTTGTTTTCTGTATTATGATTTTATTCCCATTATGTATGGCCTTAATTTATGATTCAATTTAATAATTCAGTTTAAATTCAATTCAGTTTATTTATATAGCACCAAGTCACAACAGGAGTCGTCTCAGGGCACTGTACTGTACAAAAACATTCACGTACATTATATAAAAGCCAATTAGTAAAAATTATCGATCTAAGGAAGCCAGCAGATTGAGTTGAAATAGATTGTATGTGCAATAATTCTCAGATCACAACTCATTCGTTTAGCATCAGTAACTGATGAAGTATGACCTGCAGCAGATACGTATTTTTAAAGAGGTGTACATTAGAGGCTGTTTGGCTTGACTCTTATAGAAAATTAATTATACAACAAAAATGTATCCATTTTCTAAAGTGAATAAAGTCAAAAACATGAAATGCAAATACTTTTTCACTACAGGGCATTCTATTTGGAGAAGTCTAATCTTCCCACAGACTCGAACTCCACAGCCATGAAGATAGACCAGGTAAATATTCACAGATGTATTGATCTTTTTTAACTTCTTAGATTATTATTATTGTTTTGATCACACTTTGTATATCTTGCTCAGCAATACAAGTCATTTTTATGTAATGTTGTGACTGAATATAAATGCTAAGCACAGATACTGGGCCTAGAAGTTAGAGACCTTCAACCAAGCATTTCAAAAGTAAGATGAACTGGTTTGACACCCTGCCCTGTGGAAACCCCCACTAGCTTGCCAAGACTCCCCGATTAACTCCGACTAACCTCAGCACATCAACATTACAAACTGACTTAATTTCAACCTGACTTTAGTGTCCCAAACTGACTCTAGTTGATGTAAAAACTGGTAGATTATAGTGTCAGTGTAAAGTAAGACCTGTTAGATTTGATTATTAGATTTTAATATATTCGTCTGATTTCCTCTTACAAGTCACTTAATGTTTTTGTTGTTTTAATTTAGCCTGAATTAATCCTGCTGTCATTTATCTAATTATTTCATCTTGTACAATATGTCTTGCAGAATTGGTAAACAGTGGATAGAAACTAATTTTAACATTCAGTAGTAGTTTGTAAATGACTTGCTAAGATAGCTCTTTATGAGATATATTATAAAATCATCTTGTTAGAAGTCCATTTAATTTCTGAACTTGTCCATTTTCCACTTTGTCCCCTCTCTAACAGCTTCTGCGGCCCCTGAACACCCTGGATGACCTCTGTCGACTCATGCAGTCCTATATGAATGTGCGTCCAGGTGCCCAGGGCCACCCGTCAGGTGTCGGCATGCTTTGTGTGTCCTCTGAACTGTGTAACCGCCTGGGAGCCTGCCACATCTCCATGTGCGGCACGGGCATGCAGAGGTCAGCCTGGCTCTCTGGACCGCTCGGTCTGAATCTATTTAAGCTGTGAAGTGTCCTGCTTATGGAGAGAACCCCATCAGTGTCTTTACTTCAGAGGACCTGTCTAAAATCTGTCCCCTTTGTTCGTTGCAGGTGCACCCTGAGTGTGACACTGGAGCAGGCAACGATCCTGGGCCGGAACCACGGCCTCCTGCCACGCTGCATCATGCAGACCTTGGACATAATGAGGAAACAGGTAAAATGCAGACACAGGGAGATTTTCAGATTACCAATACTGCTCCCGAGGGAGCCGTTTTACATCTTTTTTAAGTCTGAGTAAGAAAATACATTAAATGTTAAATATAGATGTTATTTTTAAAGAAAAAAATTTAGCCTTTCTTGCATATACCGTATTTTCTGCCATACACGTCACACCGCCGTATTAGTCGCATCTGTTATACGTCACCGCTGACACATCGCGTTTGTTACTAGTCACCGTTGACAACCTGGAAATGTGGGCCGGTGTTGTGCCACAAATTAATTGGCTGCCAAATGGCGGCCACTGGAGCGTGCACAGGAGGACTTTAACAAGAATTTAACAAGATAACCACCTAAAAACAATAATTTGTTTGCTCAACCTTATAATAAAGGTGTGTCTCAGTTGAACTTTTACTTAATAAATGCACTTCAATGGTCAAATCAGCTGCATTTCGCCGGGTGGCGCAGTGAAATGAAGCTGGTTTGACGGTTGCTCCAGGCATGATCCTGGAGCTGGACGTAGGTGACAGACAATAATCAAGCCCACTGTGTCATTAATAGTCACTATTACATGACACAATGGCATGCCATATTACTCGAGTGCCATCTAGCAACTGAAAATGGTAGTGTTCAATATTTTCAGTCAGAATGAATGAAAAAGATCATATCGCCACCAAAAATTGGTTTATAAATATGGGGGGGAAAACACACCAGTAAATAAGTCGCTTCGGTGTATTGAGTCGCAGGGCATGCAAATTATGCAAAAAACTGCGACTTATAGGCCAAAAAACACGGTAATGCCAATTATTTTATTTTTCAAACATTTTTGCAATGAAGCTACTTCCTTTCATACTTTGAGCTATTTTAGTAAATCATATATCAAGCTGCTCAGTTCATTCAGAGGAAAGGTGCTCTGACTTTTAATTTTTGTCACTTTTAGACTTTTCAAATGGTTAAACTTGATTTAGGAATATTTTCCGTTCTGATCTTTTCAATGTCCTCAAAATGTTTTCTTTGAAATTAGCTTGCTGTACTTTTGTTTTGTTTTATTACTTTTAATTTTGTAGCTACTGTTCTGCTAGTCTTTTGCTATTTTTAGCTTGTAGCTTGTGTTGTGCTTCTCTTAGCTTTGACAACTCGGTCTCAGCTTATTCAGCAAATTTCTGCAAAGTCATTTAACGCTCCGTGGGTTTTTTTTGCATTTTCTCAAAAAAATACTATTTCTCTAGTTGTTTTCATTTGTTTATAACAGAATCGTGTTCTTTTAATCCAATAATTAAATATTCAGTCACTCCCTACAAAATGGTAAAAAATAGTGTAGGTGTTGCATGTACATGTATTTGTTATATTTTCAAATACACACATCATAAACATAACTTTTGGGATGGTTAACCTTTAAAAGGTTACCTTTTAATTTAGGTTGTATTATTAATTAAATGATCATTCTGGATCTTTTATGCTTAATTATTTTCTTCTACCAGGGTGCAAGAGTTGAACTCTCTGCTAAAAATCTCAAGGTAATGGACCAGATGCCTCCATCAGCTCCAAGGTATGAAATCTTTACAGTTAGCTCTGTCCATGCCATCAGTAATTACTTTTAACTCTTTTACTATCTATAATTATAAACAAGTCTGAATCCTAATTTTTTTTTTATCTGCTGTTTTTGAACAGGCTGTTCAAGTTGTGCTTGCCGCCCTCAGATGGTGATCTCTAAAACTACTTCAGAGTATCCATCTTGGAGAGGGAACAAAAATGCAGTAGTGGAAGATGTTAAAAGGGGATGACAGAAACTATAAGACTTGAGTTTTTATTACTTCCCTTCTAAAGGACGGTGCCAGTAGAAAAACAAACTTCGCTCCACTCCACCCTCTCATCTGCAACAGGGATCACGTCACCCAGGGTCCTCAGGATGGGCTTAAAAGACTGTTCAGACAACAAAACAAGGAGCTGCAGAAAAACTCGTGCAACCAGAGGCCCTAAACTAGTCATGTACTGTTACTTGTGACTTAACATCTGGTGCAAAGTATTCACACGTACCAACGTTCACAGTGTTAATGCTCATAATCGAGCTTCTTTTATTAACTGGATTAACCAAACTACCTGTAGCTGACTGTCTTAAATATTGCTGTTCCACACTTTGCCTTGGACTGCAAAACTTAAAAGTGTTGATTCTGTAGCTGCGCGGGCTGGTGTTCCCCAGGGCTCTGAGTTTGGGCCACAAGTGAAGTAGATTATTTGAGTTACAGTGGGAGGCTGAATGTTTGCAGAGTCAAAAAATAGACAGAAAGATGGAAGTAGGGATTGAGGGACTGATGAAAAGATGGCAAAGGGGGGGCTGTTTATTTTATTTTGTGTTTTTACCAGCCCATTGCATGTGGTTACCGTGCAATTACTATAAGTTTAGTATCACTGCCTCATATGAAGGATAGTTATTTATTGTGTCCAGAAGGAACGTTTTTTTATTACTTTCATAATCTGTATCAGGTATTAAGGTCTAAAAGCATTCCAGCCTACATATTGAATAGTATTTAAAGGACCAATGGCATGCCCTTTTTAGGTGTATCCGCTTGTGTTTTTTTATTTAAGTGTATTTGAATATGTTGGTAGCTGTTGCATTAATCATCAGGGCATGTGAGGGATGGAGTAACTAAAGCTAGCTAGTGAGAATCATGGCAAATGGTAGCTAAAAACAAACTAAACAAGGTTGTAGTTTCTCAACAAGCAGCCATGTCGACAGGCTGAGGCATTGAATTATTGTTAAATTGTTAATATATTAATTTAAATGCGCTAGTTGAAAGATTTCTTTGTGTTGACTAAAATATGATCTTTAAATTGGCTTTTATGCTGCCTGAAAAATGTGTTTACTGTGAGGATTGAGAGAAGCACAGCGACTGGTCCATTCAGTGTTAACGAGAAGTCCTGTGATCAGTTTTAGGATGAGAACAAAAGGGACTGTTTGACTGAAACACAGTAACGTTAGTTTACTGCAGATCTTTAATTTCTTGTAAATAACAAGTGTAATGATATTAGAGAAAAGAATGTGCAGGTATTACAGCAGAATAATGCTATAAATTATACTGGATTATTTTTATTGAAATAATATAGTATATAAGTCATGTTGCATGTGTGGCTGTGCATTCAGAGATGCCGTCTCTGTTTTAAGCAGAATTTCACGAGCAAACGTGTCTCCATTCTTTATTTCCTTTCTTTTTATCTGAAAGCAGTCTGGTTTCAAATAATCATGCTGGAAGGGTCCCATTTTACATTTGTAGCACAAATCATCATTTGATTTATTTCTAATGCCAGCTCTGCGTTGAACCCCAGCAGTGAAAAAGTAGACGTTCGTTACAACATAAGTTATATTAAACTGGTCATCTGTGTGTTTTAACCAGTTCAGATCAGGCTGCAGCGTGTTGGTGTAGCTGGACACACACGTCACCCATTCGTTTGCGTTTTTCTAATGTCTCTGTTGTACATATCTTTAGCTGAAGTTTTATGTTGCTTGAAAATAACTGTACAAAGAACTTTTTTTTTTTTTTATCTTTCTAAAGTTTTCTGTGTAAATTGAATCTTAACATGTTAGTGAATAAAATGTTCCTGATATTATGGGTTTTTAGTGAGTTCTGGATTGTTCCACCCCTGAACGTTTATGTATTCATTGTTTTACTAACAGTTTTGTCCTGCCCCTAATTTGCTTTCCTTAAATGAAGAGTCCAGATTATTTAAAGTGGAAACCTATGGAAAGGTTATGAATGACAATATCTTACCTGTTGCAGATAACTCTTTTGAACTCAGCTTGAAGAAAAAGAGAATAATTCTGACTGGATTGACTAACAGCACCAAGACTAAAGCAGTTTGCTGCCACTTTAAAGGGATAGTCTGGTCATTTTCTGAAGTTTTGTTCAGTCCACTAGTTATTAATACTTAATATTTTATCAGCCGTGTCGTAAAGCATGAAGTGTGAAGAAAAGGGCAAAAAGCCAAACAAGGGTCTTTTTTTAATATAATTTCAGGCTTATGAAACTACTCTTTCTAAAATAAATGACTTATCTGTGTGAAAAATGCCACATTATCTAATATAAATCTACATTTTTACATGACACTGTTTTAGTTTGTTGCCGTTTTATCAGCAGAACAGCTTCTGTGTTTCTATGTAGACATGCGTGCGGAGCGTCTCTGTTGACCATGCAGAGGCTGCAAGTGAATCGATCCACCAGAAGTTGATCAACTTTTTAAACTGACTCCGGATCAGTCCAACAAAATGCACTCACAGCCTCCGCACCTTCAGCAGGTCCACGGTCTGTCTCAGTGGGTCTGTGCTCAGAACACAGTGTTCCAGCGTATGAACACTGATGTTCGGCGGAGAAAATGGCAACAAACTAAACAGTCTCATACAAAGGTGCAGAAGTTTAACATTAGCTAATGAAGTGTTTATCACATCAGTATGTAGGTTTTGAAAAAGTTATATAATGGCCTGAAAAACAAAAAGCCCTAATGGCTAATTACCGTATTTTCTGTCATACATGTCACACCACCGTAATAAGTTGCATCAGTCCAAAAATGTCTAATAAAGTGGAAAAAAAACAAACAAATAAGTCTCTTCGCTGTATAAGTCACATCTATTATGCGTCACCGCTGACAACCCGAAAACATGGGTCGGTGTACCAGAAATCGATTGGCTGCCAAAATGGCGGGAGCGTGCACGGGAGGACTTTTAACAATAATTTAACCAGAATAACACTTGAAAACAATTATTTGTGCTGCTGTTCGGCGTATTGTTTTTATGCTATTAGTGCTTAGTGTATTTTTAGTTTGTTTGATCTTCATATCTTAGATCTTATTACTGTTTTTCTTTAGCATTTCATTGTTGGATGTAACTGGGACCCTGTATATACAATTTTGTTCCACCACATGTACCACATATGGTGCGAACGACGATAAAGAATATCTAAATCTGAGTTCTGGAGCAAGACAAAGGTGGCTTGGTATGGCAAGCCAAATGACTCATTAATAGCCACTTTTTCCTATTAATGAGACACTTGACTTGCCATAAAGCTTGAGGGCCTTCTAGCAGCTGAAAACGGTAGTGTTTAATATTTTTCATGTCAGAATGAATGAAATCGTCAGATCTCAACCAAAAGTTGAATTATAAATATTGGGGAAAAATGTATACTAGTCGCTTCGGTGTAAAAGTTGCAGGACTTGCAAACTTATGTAAAAAGGTGTGACTTGTACGGTAAAAAATATGGTGCACCTAGCCATTAGCCCAGCCTGAATACCCTGCTCTCCATACTCCGTGTTCCTTGACTGATGTCCTGATTCATATTGATAACTATTTAACAAAACTTGACCTCAGAAATGACCAGATGATCCCTTTAAAACCACTAACGCTTCATAGCATTTCCTGCAAAAGCTGTGATATGAACCTTTAGATGGCCACCAGTTTTGCATTACATGATTATTTATGTTTAAACAGCACGAGTCTGTTATACTTTTAGCAACAATATAGTAATTACAATGTCTTGCCATAAACTGATTGTGGTGTAAAGATTTGTAAAATAGTGTTCTCATGAACTGCTTTGAAATGTTTGAGATGTAATTAATTATAGGAGTGTATCCGCTCAGACTAGCCCTTTGCTCGTCAGTTCCATCAGAATTAAACTCGTTTTTCCCATCTGAGGCTGTTCAAACCTCACTTTCAAAGATCTGAACTATCCCTTTAAACCAATGCATTTGCAGCTTAACTTGAAAAGGAAATGGGCTCAAGATGATCACACCCCTGCTCAGATCCTACCAGGAAACTGTGCTGCTGGACTTCAAACGTGAGGCTGTTTTCTTGTTTCGATGCTCTTACTCACAGATCGTCATTCGATCAGCTGATGCCATCATCAGATTTCATCTCTACATTCTGCTTTACACGTTCCAGAAAATCTGTTTTCCTCTCGGTTTGCATCAATTTCACTGTTCCATACAGGAAGCAGCTGTAGGATAGAAAACCAGCTTTTTCTTTAGCATTGAGCTGATATTTATTGCTGTTTGCTGTTGAGAGCAAGCTGAAAATCATCTTGACGGGTTTTGACTTCCATTCCTCTGACTGGAGAAGCTGCACCTATGAATATTGTATAAACATGCATCGGAATAAAAGCTCCCATTGTAGCGTCTCTGGGGTTGGAGCTGAGTGCAGAGAGATTATCTGGAACACACATGCACCCCCCCCCCCCAGCTCACTGATAAGTGTGTGAATTTTTATTTGTTTTTCAGTTCATAGTTACTTCTGTGCTTTTTATTTATTTATTCAAACTACTTCTGCAAACTTTTTGTTTATTCAGCCAAGATCAGAATGTTGGAATCATTACAGCTGTAACTTTTGTTTGTTGTCGGTTTTAAACTTTTTGAAATGTAAAACTTTTTTTTGTCTCATTGAAATGCTTTGATCTTCCAAACATCTGTGCTCGTTGAAAAGTGATTCAGCATTTTTGCTCCATTTGTGTCTCGTCATGCTTTCTGGTAATTTTATACTTTATTTTAATTCGTCTTTTTATGGCTCCTTATTCATTCTTTTTGCCTATTAAAATGTCCTTGTCTCTTTATTTCTCTTTGTCTTCCTATGCTTTTTTTTTGTCTTTTTAATTTTCTTTGTGCATTTTTTAAATTTTTTTATGCATTATTTTTCTCTGGTAATGTGTGTTTTTGTCTTTTTAGCCTGTTTGCATGGTATTTCCATCCTCTTTGTCATATTTTATGATACTTTTATGATACTTTTACACATTTTAGCCTTTTCATGTCTCTAGTCTTTTTAATGCATAATTTTGTCTTTTATTTTATTTTTTATAATTTGTGTTATTAATCATCATAAAACATTTTATTTGTTAGGATCTTTCAACACACTCAAGGAGACTGTACAAAAGCACAGAACAAAAATGGATGTTGATGCATCCTTTTGGTCTCCATAATTTTTTCTGTCTTTTATACATCCTCTTTGTCTGATTGTAGGTCCTTTTTGATTCTTTTATTTTTATTTCCTGCCTTTTCTGTTCATCCTGCTGTCTCTTCTATAAAATGTGCAACTAACATTGAAAGTTTATCTATTATTCATCTAACTTTCACATTTTTTTCCAGCAAACCTCAGTAAAGTCAATCAAACCTCATCTTTCATGTAGACTTTTGCAAAAAATGCAGATTTTTTTTTCTACTAATTATAATTGTTTCTGCAGAACTCTGCAGCTGCATCAATCAGACCAGAAACTGCAGCTTTTCAGAACCCTGAGGATGTGATTTTATATATTTTAATATATTTGTGCAGGTTGCCTCCAACTTGCTGATATCCAAAGGGATGAAAGTGTAAGACTCATTTGCATCCCTCCCTGCTGTGCCTGTCAGATGCAGGAAGGGGACGAGCAGACAGGACACACTGTGCATTTTCGCGTGGTTGTTGCAACGGGGTTTTTTTTTTCAACGCGCACACACACACGCGCGCACACACACCCGCACCGGTGATGCATCCCCGCGGCAAGGGCACGGCCAAGTCCTCTTCAGAACCGCCTCCACTGTAGAATGGTGCAGAAATCTCTCAACGGGGGGGGTTACCCAACTCCAGCCGGGGAGAAGAAGCACAAAGTCGGGTTCGTCGGCTTGGACCCGGGCGCTCCCGAATCCACCAGGGACGGGGCGCTGCTCATTGCGGGCTCGGAGAGCTCCAAGCGGGGCAGCATCCTCAGCCGACCCAGGTCCAGCATCTCCTGCGGGAGACCCAGACCGTCGAAGAAGAATGCCAGCTACCGGAAGCTCCAGAATTTCCTCTACAACGCGCTGGAGAGACCGCGGGGCTGGGCGTTCATCTACCACGCTTATGTGTGAGTACCCCCCCCCCCGGTTCCGACTCCATCATCACGGCCTGGTTCCCTCCACCTGCTGTGTCATGGTTTTACTGGCACCTGCTCCGCTGTAACTCAGAATAATCTCTTTTCCCCAATGGTGTGACAGGTTTCATGTTTTCACGGCACGTGCTCGCGCTGGTTTTCGCCGGTGGTTTCAGCACCGGGACGCGTGGACAGCTCCGCCTCACTACTCTCACTAATCAGCTCAACATCTTGCAGTCTGGCTCTGCTCGCTGATGACTCCACATTCCTGCAGCTGAAGTGTGCACGTGCAGTCAAATGTCTGCTCTGAGCCACAAACCAGAACCACTGACTGGGTCCTGCAGAGTCCCGAACCAGCAAATAACTGGAAGAAACGGAAAGATTTCTCTGAAAACACAGAGTGAGAGCTGGATGACGAGCAGAGCAGGAGTTAAATCAGCATAACAGCAGCTAAAAGCTAAATGTCATAAATCTTTAAACTAAAATTTAAAAAATGAAGCTAAAATTAGGTAAACCCTAAGAGAAACAGCAGCTAAAAGCTAAAGCTACCCGGTATATAAATCTTACCTTAAAGCAAAAAAAAAAAAAAAAAAAAACTGAAGCTAAAAACTAAAATTAAGTAAACCCTAAACCATTAGAGAAACAGCAGCTTAAAGCTAAAACAAATGAAGCTAAATTAGAAAAACTGAAGCTAAAAACTAAAATTAAGTAAACCCTAAATCATTAGAGAAACAGCAGCTTAAAGCTAAAACAAATAAAGCTAAACTAGAAAAACTGAAGCTAAAAGCTAACATGAGGTAGCCTAAATCATAAATAGCTGCTAGGCTACATTTAGAGAAACAGCAGCTAAAAGCTAAAACTGTAGAAATCATAACTTAAAGTTAAGTTAGAAAAACTGAAGCTAAAACCTTAAATTAGGTATATTGTAAATAGCTGCTACAGTTAAACAGCAGCCAAAAGCTAAAACATATCTTAAAGCTAAATTATAGCTAAATGGTACTTATCGCAAAACTAGAGTCAAAAGCTAAACTTCATGGAACCATTAATAATGACAACAATTAGCTTTTAGTGGCTGTTTTTCGTAATTGTAGCAATTATTTATGATTTACATAATTTTAGCTTTTAGCTTCAGTTTTTCTCATTTAAACTTTAAGTTGTGATTTATACAGTTTTAGCTTTTAGCTGCTGTTTCTCTAAATGTAGCAATCTGTAGCTAAAAGCTAAAAAAAATAGCGAAACAATATCTAAAGCTACAACAATGCAGCTCAAAGCTAAGCTGAACAAAATCATAAATAATTGCTACAGTTAACAAAACAGCAGCTAAAAGCTAAACGAAGCAAAACGGTTGCTAAAAGAGAAATGAAACTAACAGCTGAAATTGAAAAAACACTTAGTAAAACCTAAAAAGAGATATCAGAAAACAAAAGTTTTGAAGGTATTGAAGAGATTAATGCACTTTTGTATATTTTTTTTCTCAAGTTAAATAGTTTCAACGTTTAAAAGGTTATAAATACTAAAACACTAATCTGATTTAAGCCATACATTTTGATACTTAAACAGGTAAAATAGGATAATGAATGCAAAATTAGTGGATTAAGTTTCACACGTGATGTTGGCGATCAGCAGCAGTTTAGCTTTGATGTAAACAGAATGTCCAAACTTTGTGTTTGTGATGCAGCAACCATTATCAACTAATATCAAATTAATATCTAGAGTTTCTTGAAGGAATGATTTTCATCTTCTGCCTTTCACACCCAGAGTTTCAAACCATCGTGCTGAGAAAAGAACGAGCAGATATAACCATTTTGGTCAAATGTTACTGTATATAATTTTATGCACAGTCTCATGCTCAGAATATGTACTGTGAATGATTCTAAGTGGAACCACACCAATGTTTAGCTTAACATCTGTAAAGGTTCCTGAGCTTTAGCCATTTTTGTGTTGGCTATGATTGATTAGCAATGATTGCTATATTCAATTTAGTTCAGTTCAAGGATCAGTTGCAGACGTACATTTAATGATTACTTTCTGAAAGTTTCATTAAAATAAATCCAGTGGTTTACAGGATATTTTGCTAACAGACAAACTGGGTTGACTCGAACATTTAATGCCAAAGTTTTAAGCCAAGATCCCACACAATGACTCAGTGTTTGTGTCGTGAATAAGTTTCAGCTACGACCACGTCAAAATTCTGCTCAGTGTTTGAAAAACAGACTGAATTACGGCCATTTTTGTAGTTTCTAACATCGGTTGGCTATGAATATCACTTGAACTGGATTGACACCAAAATTTTAGACGTTCATTTAATAAATATTTCCTGAAAGTTTTATTAAAATCTGATCAGTGGTTCATGAGATATTTTGCTAACAGAGCGTTGACTCTAAGGAGTGAATAGAAAAATGTTAAGCAAAGCACAATCTGTTAGCACCCAGAGATTGTGTTGGGGATCAGGCTCAGCTACTACCACAACAAACATTGTCAGTCTCTTAAAACAGTTGAATGTTTGCAGAATGCTCAGTCCATAAATCCTCGTTCTTCATTTGAAAACGTTCGAGGATTAGTTCCAAAGTGCCCTTGGGTGACGGCGGACTCCTTCCACCTCAGCGCTGCTGCAGTTTGTTAGAGGAGGAGAAATGGCGGCAGCGTGGAGTTCACAGAGAACAGCTCACAACTCCCCTGGGATCATTCACTGGAGTCAGCCTGTGTTTTAATGTCCAAACACATTCTTACTCCGGTACTTCTGAAATACCTACAGCGTTTTACAGCAGCCAACAAAAGCTAATTTACTGTTTGTTCTACTCTTCGACAAATTAGACTGTGACGTTTTCTAGTGATGTTTGAAATAATATTTTATTCAAATATATACATTCAAAAAAGTTAAATAACAAGTAATGAGATATATATATATATATATATATATATATATATATATATATATATATAT